TTTGTTGTCAGAGCACTAAACATAAGATGTGAGGTATAGTAGCAGCTACAACGTGGGTTGGGCAACCAAACAAACGTGAAGTATGCGAGCTTTGATGTAGCGTTTCACACTTGTACGCAGGAAAACAGCTGTCTGCTCAGCATCTCGCTTCACTTTCACAGGCTTGCATCCCACATTTCGAGACAAAGCAGTGTTATGAGCATCACTGTATAACTATGGGAATATGCTTCCTACGGTTTAGGCTGTGTTCATATTTGCTAAAAAACAACCAAATATAGGCCATAACGTCACATGGTGATGACAAGTGTACTTAGCTTCACAGCTAGCTGGAGCTAGCTACCCACCCCACAATGGCCAACCACCCTAATGGAAGGCAAAACCATCTCTGTTCGTGAGGACTGGACCGAAGCTAACATTAGCCAAGTGAAGGCTAGCAGGGGCCGGGCTCAGAAGAACGAAACCTAACAGTTTTTCCTGAAACAAAACTTTTAACTGGGACAGCTAGTAACTACGACTGTAACCATGTTACCTTGTAGAAGGCCCCGTTCGAGCCGCGAACTTCTACGGCCAGCCCGTCCATACTGCTCGGTAGATCCCCACGGCAGAGCTTGTCTGTGGCTGTAACGACTCCCTGCGAGTCCGGTAACGGTAACACCCCCAGCTTCGCCGGCCCTTCGCCGATATCCGGCCGCTTGTGGATTTCCAGTGTTTCGGGTGGAGGGACAGGGGCAGAGGAGAAGGGGTTGGGGAGATGGGTGTGATGGTGTCAACTAATGCAACGCAGACGCTGTCTCCAGCAGCAGCAAGCTCCGTTGTCTTCTTGTGTTTGTCTGAATGTGGGATTCGGTGCTCGCGAGCTGAAAGGCACCGCCACGAGAGATGGTGAAGCCTCCGACGGACGCGAGGAGGAAAAGCAAGCTAATGATGCTACGGCTGGAGGATGCTAGCTGATGGATAATTAGCTGGGAGGCTAGCTATCAACACCTTGATCCCGTCAGTTTTCAGGGATGCTAGCTGGCTAGCATTTGATAGCCTGGTTGCGTTTGTTGGCTATATGTGTGGCGCAGTCGTTGCGTTGTATATAATTGTCCCAGAAGTCGTCACCGGGGGTCGTTTCTTAAGTCTGTGGTGCAATTTTCAGCGGCGTTTCTTTCCCCCAAAAAAGCGTTTGAGATGCACTACCGCCCGGCGACTCCTTACTCCAACTCCAACCGTCCCCACAAACACACGCCGATAGAGTGAATCAGAGAGGGACTGAATGACCTCGAACACCCCACCCCTCCACGGAAAAGACCCGCCTTTTAGGAAAACCAGGCTTGTGATTGGTCGAATGCCTCGGCAATCAATTCAAGTTTTCATTAATTGGTTTAACAAATAAGGGTTGGTCCATAAGCGTGACCAATAAAATCCAGAGAGTCGCATCCTAACACAATCCATTGGTTTTATTCCCTGTCAATTATACTCTTACTCAAATTGACTGGCTCCTATGTTTAATTTTGCCCACTCATTGATGAGTGAGGACCACCAGCCATTGTGTAAACAGCACTACAGTGAAATTACTATACATGTTGTGTACCAAGCAGAAGTTCACATGCTAGAAACTATATGAGGGTGGAAAACACACCAGATTAGGGATTTATTTGATGCTTATTGGCACATCTTGTCTAAACCCACAAAACTGTGGCAGGTTGCACCTTATTCCAGTACAATACTAAGTAAAGAAGTAGTATAAAACATTGGGCAAAGTTAGGTAAGGGTGTGGTTACAAAGCACCAAGAATGCAGAACCAAGATGATCAGATATGGGCAAGGACGGTCGCGAGGAAACAGCTGTCAGAAGCGCACATGAGAGGCCAAAGGTTATGGGGGAAAACCACACACCACAGGAAATGTCACAATTTTGGAACCCCAGATTCAGATTCAATATGGATGGGAGAGAATATGGCTACAGGGCCAGTTCAATTGTTTTTTTTATATATCTAACTAGTCTTGTAGAAAGTCTTTCCACAGCTGTTAAAATTCTGCATAACAAAGTATTATAGATATTATTGACGATAGCAGGGAGCTTAGTGTCTTTGGACGCAGCTGCCAGAGAGCCCAACAAATGACAAGGCATATTGTGTAATCTCTTCCAAAAAACATCCAAGTGCTGATAATAAGAAGCCATTATGAAAATAACTTGAATTGCGAGCCCTAGTTATCCCCCTACCCTCACTAACCCCTGCTAGTCGAGCTCATCGTGTTTTCCACTGCAGAAAAAAATTATACCAATCTGGCACAGCAAAAACAAAAACAAAAAGAATAATAACGACAATAATTCCCATTGAATTGAACTAGAGCATTAAATTTTATTGACCTTTATTAAAGCAAAACAAGATTTTTTGCTTGCAATATCACCTTGCAAGTTCAACAAGCTCTTGTATAGCAGGTTAGCTTTACTGCCGACACCAACCACAACAACTGGCCAAATGTGGGTGCCAGCTGATGGTCAGAGCCAAGGGCAAGAAATCAGATCTAAAACGATATTGAGGACAAGGAGAATGATGAACAGCATCAAAACACGATAAGAGACACCCTCTCAACCCTCAGCCCTGTGCAGCTTAAGGTCTGTAATGTGAAGAGAAGATGGGGTGGTATTCAGAGAGCCTGTTCTTTTACAGGCCCCCTTAACCAAGTCAAACCCACACCAGTGGTGTTCCTAAACATCTACTTTACAGTATCTAAGTCCATGTTTTGATTGAGTAGACTGAATTCCCATAATCTGGATGAGAACAGCAGAGTGAGTTTTTACCCTCAGAAACCCACCTTAACAATGTCAAGCAGCACAAACACTGTGTTCTACTATTACTGAGACACCGATCGATGCAACAAGGCCAACACTCAATAATGTACCATTTGTACTTTAGCTCTGTGGTTTACGTGAAAGTGTGAAAACAACCAACGATCCACTATGGATTATTGTTGTAAATTGTTTTACGTGGTTGGGGTACACTTGTTGTTGCTTTAAATGGACACATTAGGTATGTTCAAGTGCTTTGTACCAAGCCTTGTGAACAAGAGGATAATTCGAAGTGACTACATAAATATCATTTGTAAGATATTTTTGTTAACCGTCTGTGCTTTTTCAAAGTTCAACTTTCTTTATCAAATGCAATCATGCAGGGTACAAATATAGTGAAATGTATGTCCGCAAGCTCCTACTATTGTGCAAAAAAAAAAAGCAATTATAATACGAATATAAACAAATACTAAATAACAATGGTAATTGTAAGTAACTTTGAGTAATAAGTAAGTAAAAAATATTCTTGAATATTAGTTTTTCAGCAGCGTCCTCATTTAGGATCCTAGTGGCCTGAGGGTAGAAACTCTTCCTGAGTTTCTGTGCTGGCCTGGAGAAAAGGCCGTTATCCAGGTGCCTGAGATACAATTTGCCTGGCCGTTGCAGTGCCTTGCGGTCCTGTTAGGTGCTTTTCCCATAAGACGTCCACCACCGGGATGCTGTCAGTGGTGCAGGAGTAGAAATACCTGGAATTTCTTCAAGTGTCAAACAGTCTCTACCTTTCCTTTCTCACAGCAGTCAGTGGGCAGGCCTTCATATTTGAAGCTGTCCACCCTCTCCACGAGGACCCGATGATGTTAAGGGGGCTGCAGTTCCTCCTCGAATTCTTCCTAATGTCCACAATCAGCTTCTTAATCTTGCTGACGTTCAAGAGGAGGTTGTTGTCCTGACACCTGCGGGTCAGTCCCCTCTTTGTGACAAGCCTTAAGGGGACTATGGTGCTAAATGCTGAACTGTGGTCAATCAACAGCAGTCTCACGTAGCTCTCTTGTCTTCAGTTGATCGGTTGGGACAGTAAGGTGAGGAGCAGATAATCTTTGACCAGCTACTCAAAGCACTTCATCACCATAGAGGCGAGTGCCACTGGGCAGTAGTCTTTCAGGGAGTCTGGTCTTTCTTTCATTTCTTGGGCACAGGAATGATGGTGGACTTCTTGAAGCCTGAGGGTATGACAGACTGAGCCAGGGGTAGGTTAAATATCATTGTGAACTGAACACCAGTTGGTCAGCACATAGTTTGAAGATGTGCCCAATGATGTCACGCTTTCACCCCCCTTTCATCCAGCAACCTCAGCTTTAGATGATTTGGCTTGTCGGCTGCCGTTGGCCTCATAGCGAGCATCTTTTTTTTTTTATAACTCACCTGCTAATGCTATCACATCATAATGTCCTGATAAGAATGAAGAAGGCACACACTCCTTCCGACTTCTTCCCATTGCAGTCAGGGTCCTGAACCAGAGATTCCTCTTACCCAGAACCCTTCACTTCTTCCTGCTGCCATCCTTCCAAGTCCTTATCAAACCTTTACTACAACTACACTGGGCTCCAACCTGACGGAAGACGTGTCCTCTAACTGTCAACACAGAGGATTTTATATCAACGTCAGCATGTAACGTAGGCTATTAGCAGTAGGCCTACATTAGTTTTGTGCCACAACGTGCAAACAGACATAGTGGCGGCCTCTTTCCCCAGAAGTCCCTCTTTCAGTCCATCTGAGGTGCAGAGCTGAAGACAAATGCAGCAGTCTGCATTTTGTCCAGTTCTTAAACATCACTCAGTTAGTCTGATTTTTATATGAAACTAATATTCAGTGAAGATGCAGTTAGATGATAAACAGTGCATATTTTGTACCATGTTATGCTATCTAGTGTGAAGTGCAGGAGCACTGTTCTTCTATACTTGGCAGTATCCAGGAGGAACTCTCTTGCCTCTGTCATCATTTGACACAAATCTGCACTTCATATAATTTATCATCATCAATGTCAATGAAGATTATATTGTTGTTAAATAGTAGTTTTCCTTACAAATGATTAAAATGTGCAGTAACTTTGGTTTTCGCAGTGCGCGCTCCCGCGAGTGGCACGCTTCTCTCGTAGGCAGAAGCGGAACTTTGCATTAACCACGTGGGTCAGTTAGCCAATAGGAACGCTCCCTGTAGACGCGCGCAACTCGAGTCAGGAAGTACGCGTTTCATTTTCATGTCGTGTTCGTTTCAGCGAGAAAACATAATTTGCTTGGTTAAAAAGAAACACAGTACAGCTGAAAATGTCCGCTGAACCTGAGTTTACGCTTGGGAACGGTGACAGTTTGCACCAACAGGGTAAGAAAACAAGTTTAAAAGCTCACGTTAATTGCTGCTTGGACTGTTGACTTTACTCTAAAACAATGCATAGTGGCTTGAAACCAAAGAAATGCAGAGATTAGACAAAACGTCGTGTATTCATGTTACTTATTAATATCCTATAACCAAGATATTTATTATAAAGTCAGTTAGGTATGTATTTATTTAGCTTTTATTTGACGGGGACAAACGCAAGGGACATTGCTTTATAAGAATACAAAGTAGATGCCATGCATACAGGTTTCCAGCCATGATTAATTTGCAACCCCTGTCCCTGGAAAGTAGGCTTGCTGTGAAAGAAGCTAGCATTTAACGTTAGTTGCAGTTTGACTCCTGCGCTGTAGTGAATCTCCTGACAGAGTGTTGTTGTGGCCTTGGATAATAGGTTTCATGTATTTACTGTCCTCCCGCCCAGTTCTCGCCTCCTTCCCCCTGTGTGACATCACAGAGGAGGATCTGACCCAGAACCCTCAGTTCTGTAAACTCCTGACCACCCTGGCACAACATGTGGACCAAACTGGACTCACTGTCCCACTGAAAACCGAGCTGGACAAGGTATCAGCGCGCACTGTGCTCACACTGGGACAAAACCTTCAGTTATGTAGCATTCTACGTTTGCTGACACACACGCTCTTTGGTCTGTAAGAAGCAGTATTACATGAAGCAATTCGAGCGAAACCTAAGTTAAACCAAACAGTTACATGTTCCCAAGATTTCTTACTTTGTGGAAAGAAGTTATTCATATTTAATTACACAGTAAGTTGTCTATGACTTACCGACCTCTACTGGTAACCGGTAGGAATTGCAATCACAGAGATGGGGCGTTCCTGCTCCTGCACACTGACTTTGTTAGGTTGTATCTGTGAGCACTTACCGATGTCTTTTTCCAGGCTGAGCAGAAGCTGCAGAGCCAGAGGCGTCACTGGCTGCGCTCCGAGAGCCTCCACACAGGACTGCAGGAGATGATCCAGGACCACAGTATCAGGAAGCACCATGCCACTGTACCCCCTGACCAGAACATGGTACATTTCGCATGCATATTTGCACAGTCCGCGAATGCACAAACGGCTATCAGGCATTAAAGCTGCACATTTTACACATTGCAGCTCCAAATCACAGCTAAAGGACATAGTTTGAAACGGTATCCAGAAATCTACCATGAAATATTGTATTAGTAATCTGCACACTGCATGTTTGTGTTCACTCAAGTGACGAAAGATCATTCACTGTGGTCAAAGAAGCAGACTTCTACAGCGTTTTAACTGTGTGTGTGTGTGTGTGTGTGTGTGTGTAGTTCTATGAGACGATGGAGAAGTGTCTGCTGGTGGCTCAGTGTATCAGACAGCTGGACCCCAGTAACACTACCAACCAGGACCAGCCGCCTGTTCTGGGTCTGAACTCTCAACAGGTGATGGAGCTCCTGCCACCAGAGAAGGTGAGTCATACAAATATAGAAGGATAATGGTTTACTTTGGTGCTAAAGTGTTCTATGTGAATTTGTGAATGAAATGATGGATAGATGGAGGATCTCACAGCAAAGAGTACAGTTGTACAAAAGCAGACACATTTTCTTTGAAATGGAACCTTGACCATGAGTAGGGAAATACTTCAGTAGTCGAAACAGAAATGCTGAATGTTAATGCTCAAATGTAGCTTGTTGTGTTGATGTCTACTAGAACGTTCAAAGAATGAAACAGGGTCTCCCCAGAGAGCTGGAGAACCATCTGAAGAAAAAGTGTTTGAGCCTCCTCTCTTACTATCAGCCTGAATGGGGTACAGTATCTAGACGCAAATTTATCTGTTCCTGCAAACAAAAATCCTCATTCCCTTCCACTCCCTTTTTACGTCACTCGATTGTTCTGCCATATTCTGACTTAATGACCAGGATGTTGTTTTGTTTATCTAGAGAATGATAGCGAGGGTCTGAAGAACACCAAGTTGTCTCATCTGTCAGCCCAGCTGGACAAAGACAAGAAGAGATCAGAGTGTCTGAAGGAGACCTGCCGGGAAAACACAGTTCTGCTTCAGAGACAGACTCAGCTCTACCTCTCCGTAAGTACTCTTTCATATACATGTGAACTAAAACAAGCTACATGTTGCTCTGTTTATGACAGGTTATTGCATACAATAAAAATGTTACTGTGTGTACAAGCCATAAATATGTTCTCTTTACTTTATACAAAACAATATTTTGCTTTCAGTTTTCCTTTTCTTTTTATTGCCTTGTGTCCAGGAGCTGATTAAGTGTATACAGCTTCTCCAGTCTCTCATCCTGGACCACAGACTGAGGATCCAGACAGATCTGGACGGGAAGAAATTAGAGTACCTTGAGGGGAAATGTGAATTAGTCTTACAGAAGATCAAGTAAAGTGTTTTCAGTACTTTGCCTTTTTAAAAACATTTTTAGATTGGACATTTACTGGAGCCCTTATCCAGAAATACATGCTAGGAGAATTAACTCAAATGATTAGATCATCGGTATTACATGCATTTCAGTTTTTGTTATGTCTATTTTTCTGCTCTTCTTTCAAAGGACAGAGATTGTGGACATTCAGCTGGACACGTACACAGCGGACTCAATATCTGCTCATAGAAAAATAAGGCAAGAGGCTTATTGTCCATCTCTGGCTAATGTCTTATGTTTGCCCTGTAATCCTGTATAAATCATATGACCACACTCCACTTTCTGAAAGGCAACACAGTGATGGCAGTCGAGGAAATCAATACTGTTTCTCACTAGTGTTTGTCATTTAAATTCTCCTTGCATTTGAACTGCAGCTTCCTGATCCGGGCCTTCGGAAATGTTATCATAGAAACTGCATTCTGGCTGACGGTCCTCTAAAAACCTAATAATCTTCTGTTGTGTCTTAATTTTAGAGAGAAGCTGGTGTCTGAGCTGAAGGCCTGTCAGGTGGAGAAGCAGTCTGTTGAGATAAAACTGTCCTCCTTTGAGATCTTGGGCAAAGAATTTGGGCACTTGGCTGAGGAGTACTGCAGATTACGGCATGAGATAGAACTGAAGAACTGGGCTCTGAAGGAGTTCACCCAGTACAATAACAAGTGAAAATCATATCTGACGGCGGGACAACAGCCAGCCGATCCCTTCTTATAGTGCGTCATTCCTCACGATGACATGCTGGCTTTTGGACGCTTGACCCAGAGACTGTGTGGACTTTTGGTCTACGGGAACTATGTAGCGTGTATGTTAGTGAGTGCTCCCATTAGAGCTCACATAAGAATGGTTTAATTAACTAAAATAATTTCAGTCAAGCCTCTTCAGTGGATTCTTTGTTTGCACCTGAACCCATTTAGGCTTGTTTTGTGTTCATTACTCTTACCTCAGCTATCAAGACAGTAAAATGTGCCAACGGTTGGGTGAGCATGTATAATGCGATAGAAAATAAACTACAATAATGTCCCCAGGGTTCTGAATATGAGTAAGACCCTATATTTATATAACATCTTTCTTTGAGCTGATATCTGTTCTCGCTGCAGTTGTGTGGTGGGAACAATGTATACAAGACAGGTCCACACACGTAAGCAACATCCTTTCACATATGATGGGTGTCGTGAAGAACATCACGCTCATCTTCTCCTTCCTTGGCACACATTTTATAGCCTAAATTAATAAATAAAAATAGTAAGTGCACTGATGCTGCTGTCATTCTTTCTTTTGTAAGACACAATGTCATGTAAATAATCCTTATAGAAGATTAATTCAAGCATCAGTCATGTCCATGTTTCTCCCAGTGTTCTGTCCACTTTTGTGGGCTTTTCAGTCTTTTCTTACCTGTCATGTAATAGAGGAAGTACACGAGTCCTACACTCTGTAAAAGTGACATCAAAATTATGAAAGTGAAACTGGTGAAACGCTCACAATAAACCTGAGCTCTTGTAGATTTTATGTTGGGAAAAATAGCTGAATAAAATGCTTAGTTTAGTTTCCTGCAATTTGCGGTATAATCCACAAGATGGCAGTACAGTCCCAATTTTGTCTGAGATCTGCATATTTTTTTTTTATTTCAACCTTATTCTGTACTTGACATGGTGAACTCCTAGCTGGTGTCCTTGCTTTTCTTTTCTATCGCTTTTAATAATTTATACAACAAACTACTTTTAAATTAAAGAAATGTGCACAGAGTGAAGCGCTCGAGACTTGAGGTTTTATAATTCAAGGTGTCCAAATGAGCCTTTTTGACGCATGACAGCAGCTGAGGAGTCACCTTAACACATTTCTACACTTTTTTTTCCAGGTTTTTGTAACATCTTTATCACCGCTGGCAGCAATGTTAGTTGTCTAATATCCCCATACAGTTTATTTTATTCATGTAGTATTTAAGGAAATGTGTCATTACAAACAGTAATTTAGTAGATTTGGGTTGATTGAATTAGTTTGCGTGTATTCTTAAGCATATCATAAAACAAAGTGCCTAACCAGACCAGTGACTTCTTCTGGGCCATTTAACAAATCACAACCATACAAAATAAACTTGAGTTTAATATTTCGTAGACTGTGATTGACGCTGTCAGATTAACACCCACTCCGTTGTCTTCCTCTAAACTGACGATCTTTGTTTTAGCTCCGCTGAGCAGGAACCGGAAGAAGGTAGGAGTGAAGCATCTCGCCCTGTTAAACCCTCTCTGGTCTCCTCAGCAGCAACAGCAGCGGCCCCGCCTCGCGACGTGAACCGCTGGCTGGTTCACCTCCAACACAACCCACATCTGGCTGTCACACAGCAGTGGTTGCCGCTCCGTCCGGTACCCGCGGCATGCTCGTATCCACGCCGGGACACACGAAGGGGATTATAAGCAGAGGATGTCGGAGGTGCGGAAATTCACGAAGCGGTTAAGCAAACCCGGTACGGCCGCGGAAGTCAGGCAGAGCGTGTCGGAGGCTGTGAGGAGCACCGTGGACCTTGTGGTGAGCGGAGCTTAAACGCTGTCTGTGGACCCGGCGGCGGTCATTTAAGCTAACAGGGATAATACCGTTACAAATAACCTGGTTAGCCTGCCGCCTCCCCTCTGTTGTCCTTGCGGCGTTTAGCTTTTCCATTCCTCTTTATTTATTTTTTTCCATTGCTGCTCTTCTTTTTGCTTTATTCTTCAGACTCCCTTCTCCCAGTTTTCATTCACCGCGCTTGTCCCACCAGCCTTGTGCTCGTGTAACGTTAGCACCCGCGTGTCTCAGTGCGCTCCAGCTCAGCGTTATTGGCAGCGCTGCGTTTAAAGACAGGTCATTATGGAGCGGTCAAGTGCCGGCTTGGTTTCCTGAATTACCGGCGTTAGAAAAAAAAAAAAAAAAAGGAAAGGATGACATTGTCCACATGAACACATGGAGGGAGGGGAGGGGGGGGGGGGGGATTCAGTTCTGTGCGGCTCCTTTTGTGTGCTGGCGAACGAGGAGCAGTGCCAGTTGGACAGCTGCAGCATGGCTTCCCTGTCATTGCCTTGCAGGAGTGTGTGTGCTCTTTATTTCTACTGAAAATGGCCACATTGTGCAGAAAAAGGCAGTTAATGCATGTCCGTATAAATGATGCATAATGCTAATCATGGGTGTGCAAAGCAAAAGGTTGAATAAATAGCTGTGCTGTTGTCTGATAGTGGCTTGGAACAGACTGCAGTAATGAGGGATTAGGAGCACTGAGGGTCCTGCTGATGCAGTGTGTGTGTTATTTTCATATCAGGATGTCAAAAGGCTTGACATTTGTCTTGAAACTTCCAGTGACGTCAGTGCAGGTTGACACTGGCCTGCGGATCTCTTGGTTTTCTTTTTCTCATAGCAGCAGCACCATCTGGTTACTCCTCCACTTTCTCATGACGTGACAATGACAAACTGCTGCAACCCCAAACACAAACATACAGCCATACATCTCTGGCTGTTTAGAGAGCGGAGCTGGAGCAGTTCCTTTGGGATTAGGCTTCAGTCTTATGATGGTCATCTTTGAGGAGTGTGACGCACTACAGGCTGTCAGCATAAGAATCATGTGATAAGGTTTTAATTTCCGCAGCAGAGGTGGGCAGAGTGTGTGCAGCCGTGTGTGATGTGTGTTTTTGCCTTCCTGTTTCAGAGTATCCGTTTTTTTGGCTGCTCATTTTGGTGGCTCAAACTTTGGGCTCCGCAACTTGAGAACAGACGTTGCTGTGTGGAGGCTGCGTGGCCCCACGCTCCTCTCACATGGGGATTCCCGCAGGCATGCTGTGACCACGCTTCCTCTGTGTCTGACTCTGTGTGTGTGTGTGTGTGTGTGTGTGTGTGTGTATTCATTCTCAATTTCTCTCAGCTCCACAAAGTCAGCTCCATTTCTAAAGTCTTTAATTCCACGCCTGCGGTCTTAGATTTTTCCAGTGAACAAACAGGTTTTACATTTTTTTTTGTCATAGGCAGAGAGATGAATTTTCAGAAGGAAGTGGCAGAGTGCAGAATGTGGAAGTATTTGTTTCCTACATGATTCAGACAGCTCCTGGGCTGTGTATTATTAAGAAGCAAAATTTCTTCTTTATTGCTTCATTACTGGTCTTACTGTAGAAAGTCCTGCTGAAAGGTCATAGTCGTCTTTCACATAAAAATGTCTGGGATCCACTGGACAGTAGCTGTCGGCCTGATAGTTGGTAGAGACTACATGATCCTTTCCTAATGGACTGTGTGATTCTAAAGAGCGAAACATCTAAGAAACCCCTGATGTTCTGTCATGTGGCTTGCTACTTCCTGGTGTGTCTCCGCTGTTGGACTTGAATCTGGTTTAATCATCTCCTCAGGTCGTCTTATGCCCAGCAGGAAGAGGCTGTTGATAATTTGACGTTGCACAGTCTGCCTAGCGTAGTTTTTCTACAGTTGCAATGGCCAATTGGCACAAACAAAAGCCATACTGGGCAGGTTGCATGTTTTTGCATAGGAGGAAAAGATGCTCTTCTTTTGTCTTCATAAAGCCAAAACCGTGGCTCCGGGCTGTTGGCTGAACAAAATAAGACTAGTCCAACACGTCTCCTCGGGGTAATGTCATTTGTTCCGCCTGTGCTTCTCCTTCTATGACACGTCAAAACATCTGCTGTGTGAAAAGGACTGTGAACCCGATTCGTTTGAGAGAAACTAGAGCGCTCTGATGCTCAGATCAAGATTGTAGTTGGCAAGATTTTACTCAGACAGCAAAATGTAAAGTACAAATTGGACAGATTGTAGGCAGGGAAGAAAAGAAACCGGTCTTGTTCTTGAGGTCACTCTTAATAGCTTATGTGTGTTTAATCTGTGTTCTTGGTGATGTTATTTCATTCAAGTTCAACGTGGCTCCATTAGTAATTAGTTTCCCTGTTGTTGTGTTGTTAACAGTAGGTAAATAAAAAAGCAGTTTATGGAGTCGTGAAATCTTTTAGCCTTCACTTCAAATGGGAAAGTTTGAGAACCACTCTGAAGGAATGGACTATTGACATCCATATGATTGTACGTCCAACTATGCGTGCCACTTTATGGTCAGTATGAATGTCACTATTGCATCACTGTGCAGTGCCACCACCATGTCTATATATGGACATTTTTAGATAAACTGAAGGATTGAATGCTGTGTGTGAGGCTGAGAAAAGTCCCTCATGTTTAGGCTAAAAACACCTTTACAATGAGTCTAAAAGCAAGACTGTTTATCTCGTCTTATGAAGAGCTGACATTATATATTTTCATGTGACAACACTGAAGAAATGACACTTTGCTACAATGTAAAGCAGTGAGTGTGCAGCTTGTATAACAGTGTAAATCTGCTGTCCCCTCAAAATAACACATCACGCAGCCATTGGTGTCTAAACCGCTGGCAGCAAAAGTGAGTAGATATAAAATGTGAGGGGTGTATTCACTTTTGTGAGATACTGTAACTACATAATAGGAATGTGCAGTCAAACTATTAAATGAATAGAAAATAACCATTGCATTTTCACGTGTAGCCTATATATGTAGTCGTTAATGGAAACTTTAAATTCCACGTAATCTGCCTTGAATTTGGTGTTTAAATCCTGTATCTCTCTGTACATTCCTAATGGGGATGCATGAATGAAGCTCTATTCATAATACACTTTTTTGGAAGAGACATGGAGGAATATAAGGATAAAAGAGACTAGCTGGGCTCCTTTCCTTCCCTCGAGTGGGCCGCCGTGTGCCTGTGCCGCTCATATCCACACAGATTGGAGCACTTAGCGGGGTCAGCTGTGGGACAGTGGAGCTGCTTCATTCTGTGCGCGTGACTTGATTGTCAATGTGTGTGTGTGTGCGTTTAAGTCAGTGTAAGCTTCCCTGGCCAACGTGATGACGTCCACCCGGTCGCGTTGGAGCGGTGAGTGCCTTGCATCTGCTGAGCTGTAATGGGACACAGACCTTTGGAAATGCAGCCTTGCTATCATCATCATCATCATCATCATCATCATCATCATCATCATCATCATCATCATCATCACCATCACCATCATAGTCACACACACTGGCAGTCATGCTTTGTACTCAGTGATTTTTGGAGTGTTGTCTGGCCAGATCGAAGGCTCAGAGCTGATGGTGTGAGACTTGGGAGATGGCGACATAAATAAGACAGGACCGTGTGTTGACTGCTTGCATCATACAGTCACACCCAAGTGTTGGGCCACGTCCTTCAGTGTTTTAGCATCTGTCTCTGTTTCCCAA